AAAGTCTTGAAGCACTTACTGATGACGATCGAAGACTACAGCCTTTAGCCTGGATTATACGTCAATATAAAGAAAAATACTCACTACTGGACTTAATATGCAAAACCATGACAAATGGAGAAAAGATTGAAGTTGTCAAGGATTTTCTTTCTATTCATGTGAAAGCAGGAGTCAAGACATCAGAGGGCCTCTTTAACGTGCTCAAGAGCAAGCATGGCACTTTAAGGACTGTCAGGCTCCTGACTCAAGCCATGCTATTTGCAATCAGTTCGTAAGTCTGTGAAGGTCAGACAATAAATAAGGAAGACTGAAGAATTGATGCTCGGAGTTCTGTTGGTGATGAATACTGAATATACTATACTGTGGACCGCCAAGGGCTCTCTGTTGGCTTAGTGGTAAGGTGTTGTGCTGCTGCCAACCCAAAGGCATGTGGTTTTAAATCCACCCCGTTCCTCCATAGGAGAAAGACGGGCAATCTTTCTCTGGGCTCTTCGGCTCTTCTGGTAACTTCGGATGGGCTTTCCCTGCTCTTACCTAGGCGTGGACTCATTACTCTTTCTGTCCCCCTGCCAATGAGTGAAAAGCAGAGTGTGCATTTCAGCTTCTCCCCAGGAGTCCTGTTACAACACACCACTGAAGACTTAGAGACCCTGGTGGGCATGCCTAGTGTATCCTTCCCTTCCCAGGCAGTGCCAGTACACAGACCTGCTTAAGCATCATCATCTTGGTGGGCGCCTCCCTGTGCAGTCATGTATCACCCAGCTTGCACGGCACTAAATCCTCCATCAGAAAATGGGGGTGCTCAGGAAGCTTCTCAAAGCTCAGAGATACTGATCTTAGGTGTCAAATTGAGGAGGGACAGAAAGGGGCTCCGTTTGCAGTCCTGCACATGTACAAGGAGTATGAGGACTCTCTTGGTGGTGAAAATGGCAAAGCATTCAACTGCTAGCTGAAAGGTTAGAGGTTTAACCCACCCAGAAGCACCTCAGAAGACAGGCTTGGTGAACTGCTTCCAAAAGACCACATCCTTCAAAGCCCTACAGCTTGAGTGTGCAATCATCGAGCCAGAACTGACACGCAGCCAACTCTCCACTGGGCTTCTGAGGTTGTGAATAGCTCAGGAAGGGATTGCCCATAGTGTCTCCCTCAGAGCCACTGACAGACTGGACCCATCAGAAAGGCATAGTCTTTGGATTATCAGGCAACTCTACAGACTAGGCCACCAAGGCTCCCCAAGGGACAGTTCTACTGGATACACATAGGGTCACCATGAGCCAGACGTGACCTCATGACCACTAACAACACGATGCACACCAAGTCCTGACCAAAACCAAACCCAACCCGCCACTACCATGTTGGTTTTGCCTCTCCAGCCCTCCAGGACAGAACAGAACTGCCCCCCAGGGTTTCTGAGACTGTAAATCTTTCCAGGAGTAGCCTGCCTCATCATTCCCCAACAGAGCCAGCCGCCAATGAGTTAAAACCACTGACATTTTGATTAGGCCAATGTATAAATCACTGTGCCACCAGGTGTTCTACTGAACAAAACCCCGTTATTTTTAATAATTATCATTACACATTGGTCTCAAGATACGCAGCTCCTGGAAAGGTCTGCTTTCATTCAAGGGAGAAGCTTGCAAAACACAGCTGGCTGCTTAGAAAAAGAAGTGTCACACACCAGTTACCACACACAAGCTATCAGTAGAGATTCCAAGAACAAAAAGTATCCTGGCCTTAGTCCCTATTTCCCTTTTTGCTCCAGGAATTAGCCAGGAAGGAGAGCAGCTACGTGCAGATGGAGTGGCCAGTGCCTCTCCAGACTCAGCCTCCAAATCCTGTTAACAACACGGCAAACACCAGACGGTGAGCCCCACGCTGCTGTAGGCTTTGGTACTGGCCTCCTTCAGCGTTCAGACCTGAGTCTGGGGACTCCTTGTTACTGTGCAAAAATGCGTGTAATCACATTTCCAACTAAACTGGCTGGCAATGTTCCTGCCCCTTACCAAAACCTTCAGACAGAGATACGAATTGAAGATGGGAAGCGATGGACTCAGCAGAGGGAGGGAGGATGATCTGCTGATCAGTTTCCTTCAGATTCTCCAGAAAAGAGAATCAGAACAGCTCTCAGAATTAAGGTTGTAAGGGGAAGTCACCACACTGGGGCAGATGATTAGGAGTTAGAGGTACTGAAACCAAAAAGACTGTGAAACATTTGAAAAACTGCTCCGCTTTCAAGAGGGAGCTTTGGTGGCTTAGTGGTAAAGAGTCGTGGCTGCCAACCCAAAGGCACAGAGTTCCAATCCACCAGCTGCTCCTCCCAGGCAATACCCAACCTCTGAAAACCTGCTGAAGGGTCCAATTATGAGTTGATTCCAATGCATGATACACAACAATCTGCTTTTAAGAAGGAGCTCTGATGCTTTGGTGGTAAGGCCTTGTGCTGCCACACCAAAGGTAAGGGGTTTGAATCTGCCAGTTGCTCCAGAGAAGAAAGATGGGCAATCTCCTATGGGATTTACAGCCTCTGAAAACCCACTAGAAGGTGTGAGTCGGTTCCCACCTGACCTGTTCCCACCTGACCGTACATCTGCTTTCAAGAGCAGGTCAGTAACATGCGTCACTAGTAGGAGCTGTGGATGCCAGTTAGGCTTAAAGGTGACCTCAAGGGCCTTATTTTGATGCCCAGCCCCAGCCAGACCCACCAGCAACCTTGCAGGGCAGAAAGGTGGTCTTTGCACTCCACCTCTCTTCCAGAGAAAGGCGGTTGGTTACTTGTATTTTGCTTTGCTACGAGGCGCTCTGGTGCCCTTGTGGTAAGAAGCTGCAATCCCAAAGGCCAGCAGTTTGAGTCTACCAGCTGCTCTGTGGGAGATGGATAGGCAGTCTCCTCCTGCCGGAGGGTCAGGTATGTGTTGGTTCCAACTTGACGGTACACAACAACAACAACAACAACAGCAACAACAGCAACTATTTAAGACAAGTTCTTTAGGTCTGTTGATTGACATTTCTAGCCTCTGCCGCCTCTATGCTGCCTGGCTCCTCATGTGAAAACTAGAATACCAGATAGCTGGTACTCTAACAGCCGTTAAAATCTTTAGGTCAGACTTAGAGTATGCTCACAGAAATTATACCACAATAACAAGAAGCAGGACAAATCTGGGGAGGAGGACAGGGCCCCCACCTCTCGGGTGACAGACCCCTTCCTCATGTGACTCTATCAGAAAAATCCCACAGGTATAAATACACAAGAGAAATGCTTCAAGACGGCTGCTGCAACACACCAAACTAAATTTTAAGATCTGGATTCTCCTTCCTGGAGCATGGCCCCAAACTTATCCTGAAAAAAAGAGAACCAACCAGCAGCAGGTAACAGCAGAGGCGAGAGGAGGCGCCCGGCGCCGGCAGGTCGCTCCCAGCCGTGACGGCGCGCGGCCAGCAGGTGTCAGTGCGCACTCGCTCTGCCGCGACGCACGGCCTCCACCTGCAGCACCCCCTCCTCAGTGCGGCCCGAGGGGGAGCGGCCAGACCCCCGGCCACGCGCGCCCTGCAGACAGCTCTCCGCGCGCTGGCCCCTCGCGGCCTTTCCCCAAGAGGAGCTCAGAGCTCTGGGCAGGCAGCTCTCGCGTGGGTGCTGCCCGCTGCGCCCCAGGGACTCGACCCGGATCCGGGCCCTGAAAAGACCCTGCGCGCCCTTGCTGCCCGGAGCAGGAGCATCGGGGTCCAGAGCTCCCCCCGGGGGGCTGCACCGTCGCGGCCGGTCTCGGGGCTGTGCCTCTCGCTCCACGACGCGGGGCGGTTTCCCGACACTCCCTCTTCCAAAGACCGGCTCCAGGGGTGCCCGCTGGATGGGCCGGCCCTGGGCTTCACGGCCAATTCCCAGCAGGGGCCGCTCCCTCTCCCGGGGCGCGCTCTTTAAAGCCCTCTCGGGGGGCCGCCTGTCCGAGGGCCGTCCCGCCGGGGCGCAGCGTGGCTGGGGTCCCGCAGGCGGGAGGCGGCGGCGGGGCGGCGCGAGGGGCGGGGGAGGGTCGGCTTCCCACGTGGGGGCTGACGCCGCTCCTCGGCAACGCCGGCCTGATCCCGGGGCTATAAAGCGAGTCCACCGCCAGCGCGGCGGAGCAGCCGCGGCTCCGCTCGGTGCAGACGCCCAGCCACCGGCGCGCCGCCGGCCACCCAGCGCCTCTCCCCGGTCCTGCGCTCCAGGACCATCGCTCGCTGCTTTCACACTCGGGCCGCTGGCTGCGCTCGGGCAGCAGCGCGCGGACCGACGCCCGGAGCCGCCCTGATCCGCCCGCCCCGGTCCGCCTGCGGACGGGGCGCCTTCATGCGGCCTCCACACCCCGCACCACTCTCTGCCGCCGCCCCCGAGCTGCGCGACCCGCGCCCGGGCCCCCGCAGGCGCGCAACTTGGCAAGTCCCGCGGCGCTCCGAGAGGCGGCAGAGTGCGCGCCCGGTCCGCCCCGCCGCGGCTCCAGGAGTCGGTGATCGCGTCGGGGATGTGAGCAGACAACCCAGGGACCCAGCCCGGCGCCCGCGGCTGCTCCCCGAGTGGGGGCGGGCCGCACACGGTAAGACCTCTCGTTTTCGCGCAGGCTCTGGAGTCAAGACCTAGATAGACACAGATACATCTATTTTTAATTTCCTGCCATCCTTCCAGTCCGCAGACCACGGCTGATCTATTTTGTTTTCTCCTCTCTCGAAGAATAAACCTCTTTTCTCAGCGGCTGGCGCGACTCTTTCCTGCCTCTTAGACTAAAACTTGGAGCCCAGGAGCCGGGAGTCAGAAGGTGTCACCCGAGCGCCCGAGGCGCGGGCCAGGAGCCCTTCGTGGGAGGCGGGCCATGGGCCACTAGGTACACCGCTTGGGCCTGGCCCCCTGCGGCTCCCTATCCATGTGAGCGCGGCCGGGCGAGCGAGCGAGCGGGGTCCAGGAGGAAGAGGAGGACGTGTGCGCGCCGGCCGGAAGGCAGCTGGCAGCAGGCCCAAGGAGCGGCACCGCGTTCATGTTCCGCCAAGAGCAGCCGCTGGCCGAGGGCAGCTTCGCGCCCATGGGCTCCCTGCAGCCAGACGGGGGCAACGCGAGCTGGAACGGGACCGAGGCGCCCGGGGGCGGTGCCCGGGCCACCCCCTACTCTCTGCAGGTGACGCTGGCCTTGGTGTGTCTGGCCGGCCTGCTCATGCTCTTCACTGTGTTTGGCAACGTGCTCGTCATCATCGCGGTGTTCACCAGCCGCGCGCTCAAGGCGCCCCAGAACCTCTTCCTGGTGTCGCTGGCCTCGGCGGACATCCTGGTGGCCACGCTGATCATGCCCTTCTCGCTGGCCAACGAGCTCATGGCCTACTGGTACTTCGGGCAGGTGTGGTGCGGCGTGTACCTGGCCCTCGACGTCCTGTTCTGCACCTCGTCCATCGTGCACCTGTGCGCCATCAGCCTGGACCGCTACTGGTCAGTCACGCAGGCTGTGGAGTACAACCTGAAGCGCACGCCGCGCCGCATCAAGGCCATCATCTTCACCGTCTGGGTCATCTCGGCCGTCATCTCCTGCCCACCACTCATCTCCATTGAGAAGAAAGGGGGAGGAGGCGGCCCGCAGCCCGCGGAGCCGCTGTGCGAGATCAACGACCAGAAGTGGTACGTCATCTCGTCGTGCATCGGCTCCTTCTTCACGCCCTGCCTCATCATGATCCTGGTCTACGTGCGCATCTACCAGATCGCCAAGCGCCGCACCCGCGTGCCCCCCAGCCGCCGGGGCCCGGACACCTCCGCCCTGCCGCCGGGGGGTACGGAGCGCAGGCCCAACGGCTTGGGCCCCGAGCGCGGAGCGAGCGCCACGGGCGCGGAGATCGAGCCTCTGCCCGCCCAGCTCAACGGCGCCCCCGGGGAGCCCTCGCCGGCCGGGCCGCGCGACGCCGACGCCTTGGACCTGGAGGAGAGCTCGTCGTCCGAGCACGCCGAGCGGCCCCCGGGGCCCCGCCAGTCCGAGCGCGGGTCCCGGGCCAAGGGCAAGACCCGGGCCAGCCAGGTGAAGCCTGGGGACAGCCTGCCGCAGCGCGCGCCCGGAACTGCGGGGTCGGGGGTCCCCGTGGCCGGGGCCTCGGAGGAGCGCGGCGGGGGCGCCAAGTCTTCGCGCTGGCGCGGGCGGCAGAACCGCGAGAAGCGCTTCACGTTCGTGCTGGCGGTGGTCATCGGCGTGTTCGTGGTGTGCTGGTTCCCCTTCTTCTTCACCTACACGCTCACGGCCGTCGGCTGCTCCGTGCCGCCCACGCTCTTCAAATTCTTCTTCTGGTTTGGCTACTGCAATAGCTCCTTGAACCCCGTCATCTACACCATCTTCAATCACGACTTCCGCCGCGCCTTCAAAAAGATCCTGTGCCGCGGGGACAGAAAGCGGATCGTGTGAGCGCACAGCTGGCGCGCGCGCATGGACTCTAGGCCACTGCGGGGAGAGGGGCTCCAGGGGCTAGTCTAGGCTGCGGGGCACTCGGACCCCCCAGGCACTCAGAACCGCTTTGCTGTCCTGGGGTTTGCTCCGCGGGGCACCTGCTTGTAGGGAGAAGGACTAACTGGAAAGGCCACCCCCCCCCCAATTGTCAGAGCAGCCCCTGACCGGGGGTGTCCTGGGCCGCGCCTCATCAGTATTGTTCCCAATGGGTGTTTTACTTACTCTCCACCCCCCATCCAGCTCTCATAACTCTTTGAGACTCACTGGAACCCAGGGGGGCCCTTGCTCACGAAGGGTTAATGGATGGGGCTTGCCTGGGCCTGGCTAATGGCCACCCCCCCTTTTTTTTTAACAAACGCTCAGAGCAGCCCAGCCCACCCTCCCCCACACCCACTGTAAATATGCACTATTTTTGATAGTTCTGGGGGTGGGGCAGTTGGAATGGTTTTGAGGTTGGAATCCTGGCTGGCTGAGATGCCCTCCAGGCAGACATGGCGTCTCCAGCCAGAACTAGGCCCTTTGCAAATCCCATCCTTTTCTGCCAATAACTCCCCGGAGCTGGACCTGCTATGAGATTTCCTAACGGGGGTGGGGGTAGGGGAAGATTCCTGTCCATTTTTCTCCTGTGCCTAACAAGCATAATTGCCTTTCACTATGTAAATACTACAATGATGGATCAAGACAGAAGTAAATGAACCTGCCCGCCTCGCATGGGCCCTGTGTATAAAGCCATTCTCCTCTGATGCACCGCTCGCCCCAATAACGCACTTTAAAGCGTCTCTTTCTGGTGCCCGTTCCCTCCCTTCGGGGCCACTGCTTGAAGAATATGTATGTTTCTATCTTGTATGTATGTTCGTCTCTGCCTCCCTAAAAGCGCTGACTTACAGGGAAATGTGTTGAACTGCTGTTTTTAAACAAAGAGTGGAAATTAGGTGGAAGAAGCAAACCTGATGTAATTTGTCCAAGGTAAACAGTTTGAAAAGACAAATGGGTCTACCAGACTGTACAGTTCCTGCCCCAAGAGCTCTTAGGTATCAAAAGTGTTGTCTTTCCCCTCCTTCCTACTTTCCTGGTTGCCATCGTGTCATGAACTTCCAAAGTCAGGGTAGGAGGGCGGAGACCTCGGTTTACAACTGCATTTCTAGGTGTCTCAGACCCACTCTGTAAGGCCTGCACTCTTAATTCACTAAAGGAAAGCTGATGTCAGCACATGTTGCTACTGGCAGTGGAACTTTTTTTTTTTTAAATAAAAAAGTTTACAGATCAAATGTGAAATAAATATGAATCAAATGGCCCTGTCTGTTATCTGAGTTCTCAGTTTTTAGGGCGGAGACCTCGGTTTACAACTGCATTTCTAGGTGTCTCAGACCCACTCTGTAAGGCCTGCACTCTTAATTCACTAAAGGAAAGCTGATGTCAGCACATGTTGCTACTGGCAGTGGAACTTTTTTTTTTTTAAATAAAAAAGTTTACAGATCAAATGTGAAATAAATATGAATCAAATGGCCCTGTCTGTTATCTGAGTTCTCAGTTTTTAAGACTCTGAGAGCATCTGGTTAAGTGTCTATATGTTGTTGTTGTTGTTGTGTACCATCGAGTTGAACTGGCTCAGAGCTGACCCTCTGGCTGGCTTTCAGAGGCAGTTAATCGCAGGGAAGGAGATTGACCTCTTTCTCCTGTGGAGCAACTGTTGGCCTCGAACCACATACCCATGCCTTCGGGATTGCAGTATAGCTCCTTGCCACTAGGCCACCAGAGCTCCATATATGTATATATATATGTGTTTCAAAGGCATGCAGTTCAGATCTGCCAACTGCTCCTCTGGAGAAAATGAGTAATTTCCTCTAGAGCAGTTTAGAGCCTCTGAAAACCTGCTGGATTGTCAGCTATAAGTCAGTTCCAACTTTGCAAGAACACATAGCAACAACAGCATTTTTAAACACGTATTAGTAGTGTAACTCCATATCCCTAGGCCACTAGCGCTCTCTTCACTTTAAAAGTACATGTACATGTAACAATCTCTCTGTTTTATTGCTGTTCCATTGAAATCAGCTTGTAGCTGAGATCCTTCGGAGGGTTTCTGAGGCTGTAAATTGTGCAGAAGGAGATTGCATGTCTTTCTCCCCAGGAGCGGCTAGCAGATTCCAACCACCAGGAAATTGGGCCTTTGCTAGCAGTGTGCCTCTCCGCGGACATATGACCAGAGCTCCATATGTTGTAAAATCTTCATCTTTATAAAATTATAAAATGGCCACAAAGCAACCTTTACCAGGTGTTCTTTAGTGCATGAGCCAGTTATAGGTATGCTCCCTTCATCTTGCTAAAACCTGTCTGTCAGGTAAGTACAGTGAGTCCCCAGGGTCCTAAAGAGATCAGTTCCTAAAGGTGTCTTTAATTTGTAGGTAGGTCTGAACGGGTGCAAAGAGATGGCTCAAAAGTTTTGCCCTGATGGAGAAGCCTTATGTGTATCAGGTGGACATGATTGTGATGAAGCACTTGTTTTGAGTAAGAGGTGGTTTCGTCTTTTCTGTGTGAGACCAATTGACAGGATGGTTAAAGATAAATGCAGGTTGTTTGTGGCTTAGGCATTCCTAACCCACCAACTCAGGGCCCTGGGAGGTTCTGACTCATGGGGCACTCCGTAGGGGTTCTGAGGCTGTAAATGAGGAGAGAAGGCTGGCAATCCATCTCCTGATGAGCTAGTGGTGGCTTCGAACCTCTGGAGATGCATAGCCTTTGAGTTTGCTGTACTCTTCCTATGGATTATGCCACCAGAGCACCTTTATGGTCTTCTATTCTCCCCATTTGACAGATGAAGAAACAGAGTCCATGAGGGTTTGCTCGAGGTTAGACGAGGGGCGGGCTTGCACATGAAACCGGCTTTCTCTGGTTGAAGGATCTGTGCCCTGAGCCTCAGAGCCTTGTCTCAGGGTTACTAGCATCAGCATTCCACACAAAGCTCCCAGCAGAGACCTGTATACAAAGGATGTGTTCTACACAAAGGTTGTCTATTCCAAGTATGTGTGTGTGTGTGTGTGTGTGTATACACACACAAAGTGTTTATGCATCTTAAAATATGTCTATACCCTGAAGTTTACACACACACACACACACACACACACACCCCTCCTGCCAAAATCACAAAACCTTGTGTTTCTGTTGAGTCCATCCTGCTGCTTGGGAAGACATGTTCAAACTTGGCAAACAAGTTAGCAGTGACTCATAGCAGACCATCTAGTGGGTCTGAGGCTGTAAACTGTATGGGAGAAAATGGCCCGTCTTTCTCCATCAGAGCAGCTGGTAGATTTGAACCACTTGCTTTTGGGTTGGCAGTGTAACCAACTCCTTATCCACTAGGTCAGTCTGCTTCCTTAACAATCACAGGCAATCTTGGAAACCCTAAGGAGACATTCTGGGGGGGGGGGAATTGGAATCAACTCAGCGGCAGTGGGTTTTTGGGTGTAAGGCACTTTCCCTATGAGACATTTTGGAGCTGGACTTTTTCTTAGAGATCTGGGAATCCTACCCTCACTTGCTTAGGGTTTCATAGCTCTTGGTAACAGAACTGGCCCGGTACCCCCCGGGGGATTGTGCTGTCTCATTCAGCTGAAAAGCAGCTGATGGAATGTGCAATGATTATGGGTGAATGATTAGAGTTTTTAGGAAGAGACACTTGTCCAGGGCCTGGGGCTGAGGGATAAAGATGACCCAAAGGCTGTAGTTTTGAGAAAGGGCAGACTTCGAAAACCCAGCCCACTTAGGACACATGTACAGACCAGATTAGGTCTGGTATAGCTGGGAGGTAGGTCCTCAGCTCTCCGTAAGAGGGGATCTGCATCCTTGGGGGCACCACGGCACCACCTCTCTGCCTTCAGGAGCTTTGCTAGAGGAGAGGGCAGTGTATTTTAGTAACGCCAACAGCTGTTGTTGTGAGCCCTTAAAAATGATCTGAGCACCAAGGGGCCTGGAAGGGTGCAGACAATGGTTCTGAGGAGTTGGTTTAGAATAGAGAAGATTTGTCATTTCTGAAGAGGTGGGCAGGTGGCAGACCCCCGTGCCTCACAACCTGTGCAGCAAGGCTCAATGACCGTCTGGTACTATGACGTGCTCCTCACCCCCTATTCCAGCCACCTCTTTCCCTCCTCACCCCAAGGAACTCATTGCCCCAAAGGCAAACAGTGCCAGACACCAGGCCTGCCTGGCAGGCCCCCAGGAGCCAGGCTGTGTGTCCCAGACACCAGGCAGACACAAACACTGCCTGTGTTGACGCCACCTTGTACTCTGTCTGCAGCAGGAAGCCTTTGCTGTGTCCTTTCCCAAGAGACCCACTTCCTGGGAAAGGGGAGGTAATTGTCTCACGTGGGGCTGTTCCTCGATGCCCTTTTATCTATTCAACATCAGAGGAGCCTCAGAAGTGGATGGGGCACCCGATTGGGTGCTGGTTCCAGAGCTGATGGTCAGAATCACTGTCGTCACAGGAGGACTCTGCAAAGGCCTGGGGCAGCAGAGGGAATTGGAGGAGGGGGATGGATAGTCTGGGATGTGGGAGGAGGGGCTTAGCCTTACAGGGGGTGATGAGACGGGGCCTGTCACCCCACATCTCTGCCCACATGATGTGATCCTAAACTGGCCCAAAAGGAGTTGATCAAATGGCTGGCTCTCCTATTTTATGTAACTTTGGTTTGAGTGTCAAAAGTCACTGGTTTTTGGGTCTGGAATGAGTCTTGCTGGGCAGCCGCCTGCAGAGTGGGCTGGAGTTGAGGGCTGGGCGGGAGCTTGGGTCAAGCCTGTGCGCACACACTGCCTCCCCCTCCCCAGGGTCTTGTTCACTTGCTTCTGTGCTAAAGGCAGGATAGAATGATAGGAAGCGTTGCGTATTTCACTGTTCTGGCCAGTTCTGTGCTGTCTCATTGGTTCTGACTCATGGCCACCCCGTGTGTGTCAAAGGAGACCCTTGC